CTAATAGTTTAGTTGCTTGATGGCCCAAGAACTTCAGTTCATTGTCTAGACACACACACACACCAAGGTCCTTTTCGCATTCGGTCCTTATTCATCAGTTTCTTCATCCCATTGGGACATATGATATGCCTACGCCTCCATACCGTTGGTAAAACCCAGGTGCATCATCTTACACTTCGTGACATTTAATATTAGCAGTCATTTCTTCGAGCGCACTTGAAGTTCACAGGGTTGTTTCTGCAGCTCCGCATTTTGTTAGGTTCTTAATTTCCCTAAATAACTTAGCATTGTCTGAAAATATTTGTATGGAGGAGTGTATAGCTTCTGGCATGTCATTTATGAAACAAACAAACAACAGCGGGCCCAATACACAGGTACACATGATGATTTCTTACCTTTAATCACCACACACTGCTTGTGATCATGCAAAAGTCTCTGATCCACACTAAGACACTTCTCGGAATCCAGTCCCCTTCCAGTTTAATTCTCTGCCATTCATGGGATACGCTGTTGAAAGCCTTGGAAAAATCTAGGTTGTATATTCTTGATATTGCCACCCTGTTAGAGAATTTGGGTCCAAGCATCCAGTACCTTGAGTAATTGTGTTATACAGGAGCGTCCCGGCATAAAACGGTATTGGCAATCATTTACAAGGTTGTTTCGTAGTAGATGTTTCATCATGGCCTCTCTTGTAATGCTCTCAAAGTACTTTGCATACTATGCTGGTCAGGCTCATTGGTCTATAATTATTTGCGGAGTGAAAATTGCCCTTCTTGAAGATAAGACTCACATAAGCCATTTTCCAGTCACTGGGGATCTTTGGCTCATCCAAGCATTTACAGAACAAGATCTTCAGGGGCTCAGCATACTCATTGCACAACTCTCTAAGCACTCTGGGATGCACCACGTCAGGGCTGGGACTCTTAAGAACTTTTAGCTTTGACAATTTATTTCTTATACCCTGTTCTGAGAACACAATATGGTTCAGCACTGTGTCAAACCATTTGTCCTCAAACGCAGGAAGATTGTTCACATCCACTCTTGTGGATTTGAACACCTCCCTTGTCCTGGCCTGAATCTGCATACCTATCATCTTCAAGTCTCAGGTCCGATATGCCAACTTGCATTTTTAATTTCGACTTTGCATAACGCCTTTGGGTCTGACTTGACCTCGCTCGCAACCTGCCTCAGGAACTTTTTTTTTATGTGGTTCCTGTATCTGCTCATCATTTATCCTAACCCATGTCTTAAATTTCTGAGGTTTCTTCTTAACTTTGTCGACCGCCTCATGATTCATGTGTAGCAGTCTCCTTGTATTTATGGAGAGACCGGATTTGGTCTTGGGTGTACATTTATCGATCAAATAGTTCACTTTATTGGCTATGATATTCAGCGTAATGTCTGCATTCTTATATCTTGCGAGTCGGGCTACTGGATACCCCTCATCTCTTCCCGTCGTAATTACCCTTGTAATATTTGAACCTTGGCCTGGTTTTGTCATGAACCAAGTTAAGTCTAAAGGAATATGTTTGATTAGCTATTTGACACAAGGAAGCAAATCTAGATGAACTGAGAAGAGTGTCAAGTCATATTAGTGAGGTTTAATTATAATTCATCCTCAAAAATAAGAAACCATTGTTATGACAAACATCTCTGACTACACTCCAGGCAACTAAATTAAAGGCAACTTAACTTATGAATATTCACACCACTTGCATGCCAATCACAAAAACAATTACCCCTACAGTTTTTCTTTAAAACATGTTACTGTATAAACAAAGAAGTTAATACCCATATCAACACACTAATCTACACCTTGTGTGTTAGCAATATAAAGCCAATTTCACCTTTAATATTCTATAAGCTGATGTGGTCCCTGAGAGCTATAATATGATGTAATTATTGTTTACTGCCATTAATAATTCACATATGCCCTGCCGCCTGAGGCGACCAAAATATCAGAAGGGCGAGTAGATCTTAGAAATTTACTGGTTTTTAATCGCCTGGTATGCAACGAGCATGTCAGACTCGCAGTGTCTAGGAGTTATCCAGTAGTTTTGAAATTTTGTTTATAGTTTTGAGAGTCTGCTTTACCATAAGGAAGTGCTTAGTGCCTAGTTCATAAATAGCATTGCAAGACCAAACTTGTGTTGCATGAGTTGCGCCCTGCTGCTCCCAAGGAGTCCGCGATCTCGGTGCAGTACAGTATTGACGTGATGTCTAGCTATGTGGACGAATTTGAGTCCATCACCAAGCAAAAAAAAAAAAAGAAAGAAAAGAAGTTAGAGCACCAACGTCAATATGAACAATCGACGCGATCTACTGTAGATCATTCCAGACGTCATGGTATGCAGAGTTTGACTCGTCCTGAAAAGCTAAGAACTTACCCCCACCCATCCGAGCAAAGACTACGCTCCCTTCCTTTAAATCATCTCTTAAAAAATATGTTTTGTCAAAGTATTAATATTTCTTGTAATACCTACTATATATACAGTACCTGCTATTATTGTACCATCAAAACCGTTTTATCGGAAATTATCATGTAAATAGATAGAAATTACCATTGCATTAAATATATTTGCCAACTAGACATAATCCTGACAGCTCTGTCCTCTTGTTCAACCTTAATACTATACAACCCATGTTGTATTGCTCCCCGTTATATTTATGTTTTTCAATTCCACTGTAATTTACTGTATACTGTACTTGGAATATAAATAAAAAATAAATAAAATAAAATAAATAAATATTGAAGTGATAACCGTGGTAACATTATGAGATGTTCTTATTACCACCATGCTATTGTACTATTCCAGATGTTACTAATGTTACATAATACTTCCTTGAGATAAATGTACAGTACGTATATACATCAGGTGCCTAAAAGAGAGCTCAGGTTCTCAACTGGCTCAGCCATGTTAATATTGTTATTATTATCCACTCTTTATCAGTGTTTTTCTGGCTAAATAAACTGTTTCAGTTCAATTCTAACCAGAGCTGATGTAATCAAGCACATCCACCTTCTAAAGGATATCTTGCATTGCCTTGGGAGCCTTTCAGGGCAGTTTCAACACAGACAAACCAATGTTTCTGATATCATGACTAAAATTCAGGCTTCAGTTGACTTACCGGCAGTAAATATTTGACAAGCCCGGTACCCAGTTTGAGGAAGATTTTGGAAGGTGACACTATCATATTCCAAGGAGGGAAGCCAAGTGATAGAAATACACGTTGACAACCCTTTATCCGAAATTCCGAAAAACTCTGAAAACTTTAAGTTTTTCTGTGGAGCAATTTGTTATTTATTTTTTTTAACAGGGATTAGCCCACCCAGGCATAGATCACTGACCCACATTGGGGCCTGGGGGGCGAAAATGAAATAGTAATGCTAATTATAATAATAATTATTCATAGCAAATTAAAATTAAAATTAAAAAATATATACCAAAATATAATAATAATGATAACAATAATAATAATAAAATATAATAATAAAATGTCAATAAAATTTATAATAATAACAATAATAATAATAATAATAATAATAATAATAATAATAATAAAGAAATACAAGAATGAAAAAAAGATAAAAAGTGAGAAACACGACCTAGACCTATGAATTATTATTATTATTATTATTATTATTATTATAATTATAATTATAATATTTTCGCCCCCCCAGGCCCCAATGTGGGTCAGTGACTTGTGTCCGGGTGGGCTAAAAAAAAAAACTAATCATTGTGAAAACCGAAAAAATCCGAAATGCCTCTGACCCCAAGGATTTTGGATAAGGGATTGTCAACCTTTAGCACCTTCATGGCTGTAAGGTATGATATGCTGATATCTCTGATTACAAGTCTAAAGAAAAGATTTATTGACATGCCGAGTACAATTCTGCAAAATTCCTGGATTCTGGATTTCAAGCTGCGGCCTGCGGAATACACGGAATGAAGGCTTCGGAGACACCGCTGTGTCTAAGGGAGGTAGAAGTGGATCCAACCAAGCTGGAGGATGAATGGGCTGTACTCAAATGCTATCTCTACAAAATGAGTAAGATATCACCTGTTTCAAAACTGTCCTGGCAGCAAATAAATGCCTATTAGAGAGAAAAGTGTGGCTCCTTTCTCCATTTAGTTGACCTTCTGCTGTCCATTCTAACCAGTTCTGCTGATGGTGAACGTGACTTCAGTAAGATCAAGCTCATCAAGACAGACTGGTGCAGTCGTCTCACCGATGACCACTTGACAGATCTACTCTCCCAGTTGCAGTCACAATGTGTTAGCAACTTCAATCCAGACCAAGCCAGCAACAGAATTTTAACAGCTGGGGCCTGCTGTGTTGATGGGTCTAACCACACAGATGGCTGCAGCAGAGAGGAAGTGCTGGACAATATCGAAGAATTGGTCAAGGAACATATACAGAAACTTATTGGTCAAATCCAGTGAAGAAGAAAGCCCTTAGTTACCTACAGTTACATATGCATACACTACACTAGTTTTTTAAGAGGATCTAAATTTTTTATAAATTTCATCTAATGCTATAAAGTAAACAAGGAAACATATTATCCATATTATAATATGTTGTGCATGCCAGTGTTTTCAATTTTAATATAATTTACCTTTTGCTATTAAGTTTTAAATAAAGTGTCAAAGTAAACAACGTTCTATATAGGGCTACCCAGTATATGTCAACTATTGAAATTTTAATGTTTTATATGTCTCATAAAATTTTGGAAGGGGTAATTTACTTTGGTTCTATTAGCCTGGTTAGCTACCTGAAAAAAGGGCAAATTTCTACCCCTGGTATATGAAACACATATACCAGTACTACTACAGTACTGTATATACCGTACCGGTATTATGTGTAAGTCTATGATGTTGAAACTTTCCGGGTGAGAACCTAATTGTATTGCAAAAAAATAAAGATTAGTGAGAGGTAAAGTACCTGTTGCTTTCTATCGCTACTAAACACCTTGTGTGATCCGTGTATCATTCTTGCAGGCCCTGATAACAGTCACACTCACAACTGGTTACTTCACACCCACTGACAGTCTCGCCACATTCACAGGCCATCGACTAGTCTTCAGCTTCAATTTCCACCAACTCACAAAAAATGGTAAGATGAGCCTTTTTTTTAATAATTTCCGATTCACTTTTATGAAGAACATTTTACATATCCTTGAATTATACTTCCCAAAGATATTTGCAAAACAGACAGAGCTGTGTTGACAGTATTCAAGTGTAAAATGAGTATTGGTGTGAATTAATGAAATCAATAAGCAAGTTAATACAGTACTGTACCCTTTGCTAATATAATAGTCAACAGTGTTATGTATGTTTCAAGAGCGAGATGGTGATTCAGATATAGATGAATAGCATGTAAAAATATTTATGGGACAAGAGGTTCCACCCAGTCGATTCCACTGGCAGCTTATGTGCACCCAGTAACTTTTGGTGTTAGAATTAATTATTTAAATTCCTGTATTAAAATAAAACAAAACAGGAATGTTGCTTTTTGTTTCCCAAGTGATGGGGAAGTGTATGAGAAGAACACCAATTGTTGTATTTTTGGTTTATCAATACTGGAAGAAAATTCGTTAGTCAAAATTTGCACTGTATTGAGGAAATCTGATTGAGGTGTACAAGCAACTCAGAGGGCACTACTCAGTTGAGTGTCCTTACCTGGAGCTGGCGGACGCTCGCACCACAAGGCGACACAGCTCAAGGTTAAAGAAGCCGCAAGGCGGGATAACTGTGAGGGGTAACTTTTTCAGAGTAAGTGTTGTGAACTCTTGGAACAATCTGCCAGAGTGTGGTGATGGCACGGAGTGTGAGCTCTTTCAAGACCAGACCTGACCAACACTGGAGCAGGTTGAGATACTTTCAGGAGCCAATGCATGCCCAGTACTTGCCAACAGTGTGTAACAGACGTAACCAATCGCCCGAGCGGCTAACGAGCCGATCAGTGGTGAAGAGAGAAAAGTAAAAGATGGAAAAAGTAGCAACAGGAAGTATCCTATTTGCGATAAGGTTTCATCACTGAAATTCTTTCTTAAATTGGACCACATTTTCCCATAGAACCCTATTATAAAAGTTGAGATAATATGTAAATAGAATTTTTTTCTCCAAAACATCTTAAAATGCCATGTGCTGATAACCACATAGGAAACAAGAAAACATGAAGTTCCCAAGTGCATTCATGTAATTGACATCTTCAGGGGTGAGTACAGACTAAGGAGTGATTATTGACAAGGCTAACATAAAGGCAACTCACATTTTACACGCAATTGATTAAAGTGTTTTTGGAATAATGCGATTGTTCAATTACTACTGAAAGCTAATTTATGCGCACCTACTCTTGAAATAACGCGTTCAAGACAGTTTAAATTTGCCACGTGTATTAGCCTGGCAGTGGCGTCAAGTGTGATGCCTGGTGAGGTGCTTGTAAGTTATTACTATAAAGTTGCAGTCATATCATACTCAACTATTTTAATACTGTATTATTAATAAAAATAATTATGATAATAATGTAATATAATAAAGATTATTACAACTAATGATGATGATTAATGAAGTATTCTGTACAACAACTGTGACGACGTCCAGCAAGTTTCCCGCGCATCACTTTCTCAGTTCACACCAGCACTACTTTTTCTCTGTGCTCTCATTTGCATTGTGTGTTTATCATGTACCTTTTTAGTGTTAAACGCTGTTTTCCCCATTGAGCATGTCTGGAAATTGTCCATCTGCCTCCTCTGGGGCGCCTAAAGCTAAAAAGGCACGAAAAACATTCGCAATGGACGTGAAATTAAATGTGATCACCCGCCTTCAGAAAGGAGACCGTGTGTCGGAGGTTGGCCGCGTACTTGGTTTAAGTGAGAGCACTGTTCGTACTCTGTGCGGTATATGATGGTTCCCCTAACCTGTACCATTTATATGTATTCTTATGGGAGAATTATGTTTAATTTACGCCTTATTTAATTAAGCCGTGGTTTTCAAGAACGTAACTCCCGTGTAAAATGAGAGGTGGGTGTACAGTAAAGGAGAGAGAGGTCATATCCCTAGGGATATCAAGTGTACGTCATATTCAGGTCATAAGGTGACCCAACCCTTTCACCTTGTTACAAATCTTGTTAATCACAAAATTGTCCAATTTGTACATGCCATTACTTAGATTCATGTTGACAGATTCGGTATGTTTAATGAGACTAGATTCTATAAAGTTCCGACTGATAATTGAATTACAAGGTAATATTGAGGAGGCATTATCCCAGTCCATGCAATGCTTATTATCTCTCATATGAGTGAACAGAGCATTGGACTCCTGGCCTGTCCTAACACAATATTTATGCTATATCAACTTTGTTGTCATGGGTTGCGTTAGGTTTTACCCACGCAACCAACTCCAAAGTTTGTTTTACTAGAGATAAAGCACCCGGCGAGCCATAACTATGACATATTTTTACCATTGGTGGTATGTTAGCCAGTCTATAGGGGGAGGCCATTGAGACAGTATTGTACTGTACATCGCCTCACGCCCCAAAACCACATTTTGAGTAGTATCCCCTAGGCCATGGGTTAGTTAAGACATCATCCCCACCCTCTCCCTCCTGAAGGGAACGGGACACCACACTCAGTTCTCCACCGCCACCCCGTCCAGTGGACCATCAGTGACACGAGACTAAGTGTGCTAACCTAGGTGGTTATCCCTGTGGAAAAAATCACCTGTGGATGCCTGGTTGCGACAAGAGCAATCCAGGCTGACCTATCAAACCTACAGTAAATGGTTAATCAAGTCACGCTTACAGAGTTCTCCTACGCAACACCCGTCTACAGTGACCGTGATCGACACGAGATTAAGTGTGTTAACCTAAGTTTGTATTCTCCGTGGAAAAATCTTGTGCAGAAGCCTGGTTGCAACAAGAGTAATCCAGACTGGCAGTAAATGTATCACTTGAAGAATTAAGGCACTGCTAAGTCATACCCATAGTAGAGTAATCACATGTATCCCCAAGTTGAAAATTCCCTCTTTGGAAGATTAATTTTATTACAGCGTGAATGTGAGAGACTCATATATCCATGCAAAATGTAAGTGCAATTATCTGCCCGTATCTGTGATCCTATCTTATTGTTACTAAAAGTAATGACTGACTGTTTGGTAGTGTCAAACTGGATAACACCCTTCTCATTTGTGTCTGGGCCAAGACTCGAACCCTTGATATATTGGTGAGTTATGTGCGTTACTGCTTTATCACCAACACCCCGTCATCCCTAATTATATTTCCAAAGTATCTAATTTTTCTTTTTCTGTACATTTCAAGTAATGCTTTGTTTATAATATATTTTCAAGATTTTTTATTTTAATTTTTTTTTGAGATTGGAATGCAAGTGATTATATGAATACTGTAGATTAACATATTCTTAAGTTAAGTTGGTCATAATTTGGTCAGTTATTGAAAATGTCTGGAGTGTAGTGGTGGGTGTTTGTCATATCATTGGTTTCTTATTTCTGATGGGCTAGTGATGGTAACTTACACATGGTAACTCTCACTCAGGAAATTGGCACCAAAACCCCCTGGGAATGTCAACTCTGCTTTGAGAGTTATGATGAGACGGACAGACGGCCACGCGCTCTACCCTGTGGTCATCCATTCTGTTCACCCTGCATCACCAACATGATCAAGAATGATCAGCTCACATGTCCCTATTGTCGTGCCACGCACAGAGCTACCAGCTATACTGATTTTCCCATCAGCTATGGCATGGAGGAATTTATTAGATCATTAAAGTCACCATCAATAGCAACAAAACCTGTCCAAGACCCATCAGGAGTCATCGGCAAGAACCTACAAGCTTTGATGCTGGAACAGGAAAATTACATGAAGAAGAGTCGTGAACTCATCTGCCAAAATTTATTGAAACAGATGGATTTGTATGATGCTGAGCTGGTAAACTCCCAAAAAGATCATGAACAACTTGTTACAAGATTGAATAGTTTAGTAGAACAGAACAAGTTTGCAACACAACTCCTGCAGAGACAGAGGAACATTATACAAATTAAAAAGACAGCTTTTGAAAACCTGAAGAAGAAACAAAGCACTATACAGACATGTATGAGCTCAGCCAGTACTACTCAGGAAGCTCTCAGTGCTGTTGAGGATCAACTCGGCTGCTCAACAGAGATGAAAAACTGGATTCGGAACTGCCAAGAGGATTTTCCTGATGTTGAAGCTATTCACATTTCAATGAAGGTAAGAACTGCAATTTCCTTTATTTTAAACCTCTGACCGATCAAAGACTATCATGTAGATAATTGCTTCATATATAACCTAAACTAACCTAACCTTACCTATGTTGTTCACAACTTTTTAGGAATGAATCTCTACTGGAGATGACCAATACACCTAACAGCCCCTCTCCCCCAGGATGTGACCGTATCCTGGGGTAACACTGCTTAAATTTTAAGAAGCCATAAGTACAGAAAATTGACATAGCTAACTTTGGAGAAAGAGTTTTGAGCTCTTGGAATAACCTGCCAGAGAATGTTGTGACAGCTTCCAGTGGGAGCACATTTAAGACCAGAATTGACCAACAATGGCATATGTTCTAGTAAAGTTAACTCCCTATGAATGTGCCACAGCCTGGGAGTGCGTGAGGTGGTTGGTACGAGGTGTGCCAATCCAGTGCCATATCAAGGCTGGATGAATGGGCATGAAACAGTGAAATTACCCAGTTTCATCAACATCTGCAAAAAAGTATAAACAAAAATGGAAGCAAACAGATAAACAAACCCTGTAATACTTGTTATGCAGCATTGTTGTGTAGCCACAACCAAGTGACTAGGACTGAACTACGGGGAACCAATAAATAGGGATATCCACGGTTTCACGCCCATGACCACAGCATTGCGATGCCATATCTCGTTCCTGTGCCCTCTTACAGTTCCAGACTGTGTTATGTTCATGTGGAGAAAATTGTACTTCCAAAAGCCTTTATGTGCCCAGTACTGGTCAACAATCCATAACAGAAATGACTCACTGCCCAACCCTGTAGAAAACCAATTAGTGGTGGAGATGATAAAGTAAAGTTATTTTCTATGAGAGTCAGTCTACTGTAGAACTATGTTTATTTTGTATGGTGATTATTTCTTATTAATTTCTTACGCATTCATAGAGAGCAAGAAAACTCAAGATACCGTAGTATAAAACATTAATTATCAATATAAAGCTTAAATGATTGTATTTGTTCTCACAGGTACGAGAGGTCACCAGGATGACTCTTGACAATGTGATCATTAAGGACAACAGTATGGTGGCCATCCCCACCCATCTGATAACTCTCATCCGTACACAAGAAAAGTCATCTACCATCATGGACAGAGTCAAGCTGATTACATTTTCTGTAAGTGTTGTAAATGTTGTGGGAGTATAATACAGTGCATCAATTTAATCTTTTTGGCTCAATAAGCTATACATCAAACTTACAGATGACAGTGTTGGAACATTTTCAGTGTTGGGCCAAGAAGAGAAAAATCCCCATAATGTCAACATGAATATATGAAACTTTTAAGGAGTGGCAACAGACAGATAAAGAATATTGATACATATTGCATATACAGTAAAACCTTGCTAATGCGGACCCCTCTTAAGCCGAACAAAATTATTTGTTATAAGATGACATGCTCCCTCACAAATAGGTGCTGAATACAGAATCTCAAACCACTCAGGCTCAGAGCGACTGCAAGTCTGTTGCAGTGAGAGACATGTCCAGTTGTTTCTGCCTTCCGTTTTTGGGGTTAAGTACACTTCTTTGTGTATATAAATTTTTTCAAATTACTAGTTTTGATTAAAAACATGCATTTCATTCACAAAAAATGGATACATTGGTGTAGTATTTGTATTTTGTTTAAAATAATGGCCTTTTTTCATTTAATTTGCTCTAAGATGGACAACCGCTTATCCCAGATACCTCTTCCTCCCCAATTAGTCCACCTTAGCAAGGTTTTATTGTATGTAAGTCCAAAATGTAAGTGAACTGATGATTCATTTTAGTGAGAATGAGATGTGTGAGATTGGTTTTGAATGATCTTAGTTTTGCATCAGATAGCATTACCATTTCAATGAGTCTGGAGTTTTCGATAGAGCTTGCCACCCTCCCTGCTTTAGCTGCACTCTGGGGGAGATGGGTAGGTGCCAGGTGAAAGCACATACCTGTATAATCTTACACCAGCTGTTAATCAGTGGTGTGGATTCCTAGGAAGCAAGGTAAGTATTGCTTACTCAAGAAATATTCTTCCCTTCAAAATTAAAATATTTTTTTGTTTAATCAATTTATGATTTACGTGCTGTAATAGGAGTCCAGACTTTTGAAACTTGCAAGACAGGAGCATTTGCTGCTTGAAAATCTGTCCCTTGAATATGCAACATTGGATTTGCAGAAGTCTCTGCCACCATTTTGCAGGGTAAAATGAAATGCCACTGCCAGATGCTAGATGAAAACTAATAATTTAATTTATATTAAGCCACTTTTTCTTCCCAAATACTGTATGTGTAAATAGGATTTAGATCAATCTAATATACTTTATCTATGTTTGTCTTTGATACCCCCAAAATGTTCTACACTACTGAGGGTATACACAAACACTTGTTATCTTAAAAATAGGTTCTTATTCTCGTACGGGAGATATATACAGATGGACCAAGAAACTCGCTTCCACACCATAAGGACTGGTGGTCTCCACTCTATGTATTACTGCGCGCTGGCCTGTACAGATGCCAGCATTCACAAGCTGAATACATAAAATGTAAATATGATAATTCACATACATAACATGGTGCATAATAAATGGAAATATTACATAGAATTAATACATGTTCTGTAATACTTTACTATACATAATTAATAGAGTAATATAAGAATACACTTTACTGTTAAAAGCACTCTGATGCTGGCATTTCCCCTCAATAATATTTGTTGTCATCACCGAATATAATTCCTTTTGCTAGAGATTCGGGCTACGAAAGCAGTACTACCACCCTCTAAAAGATCACTGCCAGCAGCACCACAGCATCACCAGATCAATCATAAATTCATAACTATAAACTCACAAACAAGATTAAAAACATTTGCTTTGAATAATTTAGATATATCATTTTACCATTGCCATAGTCTGTGCAAGATAATTTACTTTATTTGGAATAAATCTGAAATAAGTTACTGTATAATGTACTGAGGGTTGCTTATTTTGTTCAAAAAAAACCTTACCCAAATGTTTGATTAGTGTCATAAATGGAAGTTAAAGACAAACAAAAATAACTATGTATTAATTATTTAACCTTTTTGTTCTGTTTCACAATTTGGTAGACTACCAGACTTGATGGTAGTTTAATATTACTGCATGTTGGTCTGGCCATTTCTAGCCCCAGAGATAATTATAAACAGGATCTCCAAAATAAGGGTGAGTAGGTCAGAGTGAGTGTCTCAGGATTTCAGAGTAGCTAGCAGGAAGCTCCAGGCATGAGGGGCACTCACGCTCTTAAAGGTTAGCACTGTTGAGAAGTCTGAGGCAATCTTCTCCACAATGGGCTTTAGGGTTAATGGTTTAGTGACTCGTGATAGACAAAGGATATTGTATCTACCATGTTTTATTTTTATTTCACACTCGTATGTTACATTATTGGGAAAGTTCCCATTTTTCAATAAAATCACTTATGCTCTTCAACATACTGTACTTGGTCCACCAGTGCACACAATTTTGTGTACCATCAGATAAAAAAGGTTTTTGGCTGTGCACTGCCTTCTTCACCTCTTCTTCCAAAGGGCCAAACAGGTGATAGTTTGATGGGACAAGGTCGTGACTGTATGGTGGGTGATTGAGAACCTCAAATTTCAATTACTGGATAGCTTTACCCTCAAAGACTTGAAGGTGTTTTGTGACTTGATCAATGGTAACCCTTCTGTCATCCAGTACTATATCATCACATGCATGTTCAACTTTGACATCATTGATGATGTGGACAACCACCCAGTGATCTATATCGGTGATGTGTTATGCTGGTTTTGGTCATTATTATTTGTTAATACACACTCCACGAATGCAAAACATGATCTCCATACTGTGCAGACATTATTACGTAAATTTCAGCCCCTTATATACCCTTCGTTCGCCCAAAAAAATTGAGACACCACACTGTTCTTCTTTAGTGTAAGTCGAAAGTGGGTATAGATCTGATAACAAGCATCTAGAGGGACACGCTTTTACTTTTTTACTTTTATCCTCTTCATCACTGCTCTCATTAGCCACTTGGGCGATCGGTCACATCTCTACTGCTCATGCACACTGGCTCCTGAATGTATCTGAACCTGCTCCAGTGTAGGTCAAGTCTGGTCTCGAAAGAGATCACACTCAGTGCTGTCACAACACACTCTGGCAGATTGTTCCAAGAGTTCACAATTCTCACTCCGAAAAAGTTACTCCTCACAGTTTTCTGGACTTGCGGCTTCATCAACCATGAGCTGTGACCCCTTGTGGGGCGAGCATCCACCAGCTTCAGGTAAAGGCACTCGCCCTTTGAGATGCTTATACATCTCAATTAGGTCCCCCCTTGCCCGTCTGTAGTATAAGCTAGGCAATGTCAGGTGCTCTAATCTCTCAGGGTAGCTGAGGTGCCATAGTGCAGGCCCTCTGGTGGCCCTCCTTTAGACATTTTCAATCAACTGATAGCCCCAAGCATATCTCGGGGACCAGACGGGGTGATAGTACTCCAGACGGGGAAGCATTTCGCTCTTGAAGATCGTTACGAGAGACGGACCGTCTAGATATCTGAACGACCTTATGAGACCTAATAATTTAGTTGCCTGATTTACCTTCGCTTTCCAATATCCCAAGAACTTCAGATCATTGTCAACATACACGCCTAGGTCCTTTTCACATTCAGTCTAACTTATGCAGTTTCCATATGGGAGGAGGTACCGACTGAACCTTCCACCCCCAGCCACCCTCCCCAAGAGAACACTATACATACATGTATAGTACATACATGTATAGTACATACGTGTATACTTCATGAAACACAAGTCAACTTGTGTGTGTCTATACAGTCAACCCTCACTTTACGCCGTTAATTCAACCCACAGGGTACCGCGGAAAGTGAGAAACGCGTAAAGTGAACAACATAACATATGGGATTAATTGAAATAGAGACCAGGCCGACCCCCAAACTCCACTTTTTGACGACACACAACTATGTTGTAGTAAAAATTTTATCTTAACTTTATGATGGCATGCACACACAATTAATATAGAAGAGGTTAGGTTAGGAAAAATAAAGGTTAAGTTAGGAAAAATAAAGGTTAGGTTAGGAAAACTAAAAGTTAGGTTTAACACTTACGTTAGTAGAAGAGATGGGTCGGCATACGGGGATGTAGGCTGGTTCCGAGACAGAGGGCAGGCTACTGGCCCTCAGGTGAGTCACCATCACTGTCATCCACACTTGTCAGGGCCTCCCTGACAAATCCCTCAAAGTCATCTTCACTGTCTCTACCTGTCACTATCACTGGCTTGGGCTGGCTGTGGTGGGTTGCGGGCGAAGAACTCTGTTATGCTTTGCTGACGGCTGGTACTTATGTTGTCGTGATAAACCTTGATGTAGGGCTCCATAGTCTGCAACAGGTGGGTAGTGAAGATTTCATACCTGTTTGCGTCAGGGTCGTCGGAAAGGAGGAGCTTGACTTTCTCGATAAACTCGATGGCGCCCCTAACATTACTATGGGATAAGCGGTGTTCTTCTTGGGATGACGCACCACCTGCCTCTTCACTGACGTCATCATCATCTACCATCTCGTCGGTAGTCGCATCAGGATACCTTATCACCTCCAGGATGTCGTCGTTGGTGGTCTCGGAGAAGCCTGCAGCTGTAACACTCTGCGCAGCTTCTCTGGCAAGGTTCACTGCTACTGCAACAGTCTGAACCTCATCAGTCACAGATTGACTCTGCCTAACGGCCGGAATGCCTTGCAACACATGTCTCCATGCGTGACGAACAGTACAGACAGCTGATCCCATGCCTCCACCTTGAAGTCCACAGCTTTCTTGATGTTGAATATTCTCCAGAATTGTTTTAAAAGTACTTGTTGCTCTGCCAATTGTTGATCCTCGTCGTCTTCGCTCTTGCTATCGGTGGTGGTGTCACTCAGGTTATGCAACTCTTCCCTGGTGTTGGTGTAGGCATTCAGGAGCTTGAATTTTTTAGTAGAGAATGCAGCTTTTGCATTACAGATTAACTCTTGGTCCATGGGCTGTAATATAGACGTAGTGTTGGGAGGAAGGAAGACCACTTTTATGTTGGGGTGACGATCTAACAGTAGGGGCGAGTGTCTTGGTGTGTTGTCCAGCAGCAACA